AAGATGATCCTTTCTATCATCTTGTCACTTGGAGGACATTTGACCCTTCACTTTCAACTTTCGTTTCTTAACTTTTTTAAATCTTTAGATGCTTAGAGCATTCTGTTGTCTCAACTATCAGATAGATCATGATGTGATTTTTTTTCCAAGTCAGAGATATCTTACAAAATGAGACTGATGTGCAAAAGTATCTGTGCAGGCATAACTTAGAACGTTACAGTGTAATTAAATGGGTTGATGGCAATATTGTCACGCACACTGCTGTCCAAAATTCCATATATAGGAAAAGATGATGGCTAAGCGGTTGATAAGCTCATAGTGTTTGAATAAGGTGATGTTCTCATTAATCCTTAGAATTGGCTATTGAAAAAGGGAACAGCTGGGAAAAACCTGACTAGCATCAGAGCCATTTTTTCTCAGAAACTTTCACTCCAGTGTCATGAATGCTGAGTCATGAAGCTTTTTAGAAAAAAAAAATCTATAGGTACCAGGTGCTTCCTGTTTTTCAGTATGGTAGAATTTTTGTTCAATTAGGCACTGTTCCCTCTATATGCCAAATATAACATAGCAAAATTGGAGCATTTCTGGCTGAAAAATCACTAAAATGTGTATATCTTTAGGGTGAAAAACACATTAGCTCATTCACTGTGTTTGTCTAGGCATCTGGGCAGGCATATTTTGTGTCAGATTGCTTTTGTAAGCACTTTTAAGGACTCTGCATAGTTATAATAGCACATGCCTCTAGTCCATTTACCAAGATGTCCCATGAATTTGGTTATCAAAGATCAAAGAGCTGTGATAATCTAATTCATAGCTAAACAGTGAATTTTTCAACCTGTCCTTTCTCAGGGGTGTTGAGGCAGCAGGAACAGGATGTTGAATTCATTTTGGGGAAAAAATGAGAAAAACTAGTTAGAACTTTAGAAGCCAGGAAACTCAATATTCAGGGAGCTTTGAAGGAGGGAGCAGGGATTTGCCAACTATTCTGAGCTAGTTTGGTTTGATAATTTATTGATGTAAGGGATAGATTGATGAGAATTCTATAAAGTTCCTTAAAATACCAGGCCTTTGTGTATTTGGCAGTGATTCCTGGTATAGAAAGACACACCTCTTTCTTGTCTTTGCTATATGCTCTGTTCTATAGAATAAAACTTCCTGGATTGTGCTAAATTTAAGCATATGCTGGTTTGCTTCTTGGGAAGTCCCCACTGAGCATACATATCTTTAGGCTCCTAAGGCCAGTTTTTTCGGTCTGTAACACTTAACTTGAAAACATGTTATTCTCTCCCTGCTATTTAAAGCAGGAATACCTTTGCCATTAGGCCCTGGTTGGCCAATCTGGATATTGCATCAGGGTATTGTTGCTGAAGTGGTGCCCTTCTGGGATCCAGGGCTGTTTTCCTGGCTGGTCCTGTTTATTTTTATTCTTCTCTGCTCTCTTGAGTATTGCAGCTAGGCTTTTGGGAAGTTAAGATGGTAGTGTGAGAGCAAATAGTGTTATGAAAAGTTTTTGGCCTCTACTTTGTCAGCTGCTGAACATCCACTTGTTGAGGGTAATTGGGAAAGTTCACCCATGACTCAGATGGTAGTTGGCTCAATCAATAACTGAATCTTGTTTTCCATTAAATGTAGGTGCAGCATTTCCACCAGAGCATCCAGAGATGCCATGATATGTTACTGGGGATTGGTATCACAAGAAAATGGGGAGATGCACTGAGTCTTGCTAGACAGAGCCGGATGATATTCTGAAAAATAACCTTGTAATAGATTTGGGGTTTTTGAAGGTTCTGAAGGTTTTTTTTTTAATATTAGAGCAGGTTGTATTTCTACATCAGACAGGCAGAAAAAGGAAAATTGATATTTTGGTTTGTCAGGATCCACATCCCATCTTGTTGTTCTGTAGCTTGTTTGTCATGGAAAGCTGTCAACAAGGAGAAGTTAACATTTGTTACCACCTGAATGATAAAGTTAAGTGCCGTTATAGATTTCATTATTGCTTTCCAAGGGCATGTACTGGTCTTAAGTAAATAGAGGTATTATATTCCTAAGCTTGCAATTTATTTGATACATGTTGCTTTTTATTTTGGAGAAACAGCAAAGATTTGTGTAAAAGCCAATTTTCTTACTCTACCTACTATCATGCTTAATATTTTATCTCAGCCTACATTTAAGGAACTTAAATTTCAATATATGGTTTCCACTATATTTGTTTTGCAGGATCAATCTTGGTTGGTTATCTGGACCAGAGGCTTAGTCTTCCAAGCCTTTGTACTCCTGCGGGAGTCCATCCTCAAGGAACTTCTCTCTATCAGAATATGTGGTTCCCTGAGGATGGGCTCCAGCATGAGTCCAAAAGCTTGGAAGATTAAAGCTCTGGTCCCAGTAACCAACCCAGATTGGATCCTGCAACATTATCCCGGGACACATATATTTGCCTTCATTCCTATTTGTTTTATTCTCTCATAAGCCTGTGGGTGGATTTTCTCTCTGAATGTGGCTAAAATGAAGTTGGATAGTTTGAGACTCAACACATTATGAGATCCCAGTTAGTGTCTCAGTAAGTGTAAACCAAGCCATCACATTAAGCTGTGATACAGTTTATTTATTTGGGCACAGTTATACTTTGATAAGTGTGTTTAGCTTAGGAGATAGGATAGAGATAATAGAGTGGTTCAGTTTCACCTTATGAGCTTCGTAGCAGATGATAAATTCAAACTTGGCTTGAAGTGCTTTCTCCAGTATTATTTCCACTGTACTGCATTGATTTTCTCTAGTGTTCTTGTCAACATTGCCTTGGCCTTTCCTTTCATAGCAAGTTGAATAGTGAAATACCATGGTAAACAGCTCATCTGATACTCCAAGGTCCTTCTGTTTTTTTAATTCACTGGCAGCTTTTGTGACAGAACTGTCAGCCTATATTGTGTTGCAAACCCTTTTTATTCTCTTTGCAATGGGCACACAAGAAGAACTGAAAACTCAATTATTCCAAATACATATGTATTGTGATTCCTATTATGTAGCATTTGTTATGGGCCATATTTCCACTAACCATTACTTCTGCTTAACAAAACACTTTGAATAGTAAAGCAAGCAAGCAAGCAAGCAAGAGAAATAATTCTCTTGGACATCCACATGATGCCCTTATGGCATGGACTGAAATCTCCCACCTGATTTCATTTTTAAAATTCTTTTGAATAACAACATCATTATCATCAGAAAGTAGGAGAGGTGTACATGAAAAAACTTTTCAAATCTTGAAACAAATAGTTTTATTCTGAAGGAAATTATTTTGAATTGGTAGTGGTTGGATATAACAAACTTCAAAGTAAATTGGGTGTTCCATGTTTTGTTTAAATAAAATTTATAATAGTTTGGAGTGTTTCAGCAGTGGAGAGCTTTCTGATATGTTAGGAGGAAAGATGAGAAGGGACGGAAGAAAGGGGATGAGGGAATTAAATGCTGTGGTCTAAGAAACAGGTTTGTAAGATCCAGTTATTATAGCCTTTCTTAATAAAGTATGGCTTCCTATGGGGTTGATTTTCTGGCCTGCTGTACATAGTGGGGCTGTCAACCAGGACTCTCTTAGCCAGAAAAATAACACCTGAACTGCAAGTGGCAAGACAGCTTCCAATGACACCACTAAACTAGAATGGTTTCACTCTCAAAACATTTCCCACCTAAACAAAAGTTCAAGTTGGTCTGTGTCCAAAACAAAATTCCGCATATTATTTTGAATTAGAAGCAAAACATTCATGTGTGGTTTGCTTCATGCATGAATCACTAGAAGGTCAGTGCTCCAAGAGGTTCATGTTCAATCCATTTTGCACATCTCTAGAAATCTGTGTGTAGCAAAGCAAGGTGCCAGACACAGATGTAATCTGTAAGGTATATTTTTCATTATTTCTTGCATTGCCTTTAGTACCGGCACAAGAACCTAAAATGGTGGCTGCATCCAATGCTTTGAAGTATACCTATATATTCATAAAATAGATAAGGCAAACTGATCCCTAGAGAGCTTTCTGAATCTGAGAAATCAATAGGGTGGTGAGGAAAAACCCACAGGTGTGTGCTTTATGATTGGATGTATGTACAAAACAGTCATCCTGAGGGTGCTATTAATATGCTCTTAAATTGCTCCTTGAATGCCTACTAATCCCCAAAATTGAAGGCTATGAGATGCTCTTCCATTTCTAATATACCCTTTCCATGATAAGATGTAAAGCCAAGCATTAGTACTTTTTTCATGTAAAGCCAAGCATTAGTACTTTTTTCTCTGGTGGGATGGGCAGAGCAGTAACATTAGGGTTAGTATTTCTGATCTTCAGATATGTGTAAACATCACAGGAGTAGAAACTAACCCGAAGCAGAATTTTTTAAATAACTGTCACAGAAGTACCTAACAATTGATGACTTAGGTTAACATGAACACATTCATAACATTTTATAAGCTGTATTTTGAATTGTTAAATGGCTCTTGCTATCTATAAGCAGAGATGTCAGACTTATTTGTGGTCCGGGTATATAAACTGGAGTAACTGGAGACAAATCACTTTCAGTGCAATAGAAAAGTGCATGATCCAGAATTCTGGAAAGGCTTCGATGAAAAATCTAGAATGGTAAGGGGAGAAGAGGCTGAGTTAGTAGAATTCATGCTGGGAGTTGGAAACCACAAATCTTGAGAGCATCCAGGTGAGGAAGAATAGAATATGAAAATAACAGGCTGTAGGGTCTTCATTAGTTTGAAGTAAGGTGAATAGCAAGGAGAAGCTTTTAGGGAGAGCATTTCCAAATGGAGATCAGTCACTAGCCAAGTGTGTCATTTGACATGGCTTTTCAAAGTGGTTAATGATATCATATGCACATTACAGTATAACCTTATTCCAGAGCTAACCATAGTAAACTAGTACTATAAATTAGATTGGTGTTACTGTTCATCACCATTGCTATCAGACATGAAACAAATGTGTAAAACCTGTTTTTTAAATCCTTCTCTCTCACAGGACTGCCCACAGATCCTTCCAAGCACCCAGATTTACATCCCTGTCGGTGTGGTGAAGCCTATCACTTTAACAGCCAAAAACTTGCCACAGCCGCAATCTGGACAGCGCAATTACGAATGCATCTTCCACATCCCTGGGAGCCCCTCCCGTGTCACTGCCCTGCGTTTCAACAGTACCAGCATCCAGTGCCAGAATACCTCGGTGAGTCCATAGCCCAGAACTGTCTTCTGAAAAACTGCTTTTGGCCTTGGATATAGAGGAAGCCTGAGTTGGGTAGGATCATAGGAAATTAAGAATGTATTTGTGTTCTTTGCTCATTCTGCCTAATTAACATCAATCCTTTTTAGTGAGTTGCTGCCTTCCCTTCTTTTTATGGAAAATGTAGTTATTGAGCTTCATCCAGGCTTTTCTCTTAAGATTTAGCATTCTAGTCTCATTCATTTTGTAGTTGTGTTGTTATTGTTGTGGAGGTGTGGGGAGGAAGTAGTATTAAGCATGTTTACCACCTTGGGTTACTTATAAAGTAATAAAGGCAGGATAAAAGTTAAATAAAAAATAAATTCATTCAGAGGTGTGTGTGTGTGGGAGAGGGCAGAAGATATTTTCCCCCTTGTGTCCATATTATCCTATCCCCAAATACTTCCTGGATGAGAAACCAAATGTTTTTAATTAGGTCAGGTTAGTATTCTCACGTGAGATTATTTAATTGCCATGAGTGCTCTTTTGACAGAAAAAATAATAACAAAGGCAGCAGCAGGTGTTGTTATTGTTTCAAGAAGTTCCACATCCTTCATAGTACCAGAGTATTGGATGAATGGGCTTAAGGGAGCTCTGATCATAAAGACCTGTAAATTTAATGTGCTAATCTGTAGAGACAGTTTCTTGGCTAGCCTTCTGGGCTATCTTCTAATCATCACACCTTTATTTAAGACTCTGTTCTGCTGAATAGACCACATTAGCTCAAGGGAGTGAAGTGTGGTTAAACTAGCAGAAGAACAATAGAATAATATTGATAGGACAGTCTAAAGAATTGTATGTGTAATTAGTGTCAGCAAGTAAACTATTACTTTTCTTCATTTTTCAGTCTGCATAGAGACATCCAGTGAATTATCCAGTGAAGTGTTACATTATGGCCCATATCTAATAAAATAGGGTGAAATTGATTATTTGGTAGCCTTTAAGAATAAACTTATATGGTCTGTCCCTTACATTTTTCTAGTTTTTCTCAGAACATAGAACTTTTTGTGACTGTCTATTTTACACTATATTCTTTCCCCCATAGCTGAGATTTATAGCCTGCAACTCTCCACAGTTTTGACTATAATCCCCAAATTGCTGATGAATTATAATTTTAATGTATTATGAAAAGGAGATTTGATTAAGTATACTATATGAGGAGAAATCAGATTAGATGTGATTAATTTTAGTTACATTTAAGAAATTTAATTTTATTCCAAAACCATGTTTAGAAGTGTCATCTCTGTTATGTTATTTGAAAATGAAATGCAGCCCTCAGCTGAAATTTGTCTCTAATTGTCTGTTATGATATACATGAAACTACTTGGAGATTTTATTTGAGTTTTGGAATTTGATGCCCCAAGTCTATTTCCTTTCTGAATAAATCCAAAGAAGCTGTTCCAGGTTCTAAATTACTGTCATAATATTAGATAGAATAGGACAGATGAATGAAACACAAATTGAAGCTTAATGTAGATGGAGATGCTGTCAATCAGTTGAAATTCAGATCAGAAAATAAGAATGGAATCTATCCTGGTTGAACTTACAGTATACAATACCTCTCTTGGACACTCTAATTCTGGATATCTGGGATTTTGTGTTCACTGCAGGTATCTTGAGTACTTATCTCATAAATACTCCCTGCCCACTTAATTGAAATAACATTTGCAGGAGAGAAGCTGTTTTGGTTTTATGGTGAGCCAGGATCCTGATAAGGCCTGGTGAGACTAATAGTAAGACAAGAATGTATTTTAACAGCTAAGTCTGATGTATCTCAAATCAGCTGTATTTGGGAAGAGGGCAGATGTTAACTAGAAAAACTAAAGCATAATGTATGAGTTCATTGTAATTAGGCAGCAGCAATCAAATATTGCCTGTAAACTAGATAGTAGACTATTAAGAGTGTTTTTTCTATTGAATCTCTGGCATGGTTGCTTTTTGTACTTACTGCCTGCAAAGCCTCCAGGATTTCCATCCTAGCAGAGTTGCAGAGAAGGACTGTGTGTTTGTGTATATTTACAAGTGAGTCAGGTCAGGCAGTAATGATTTATTTAAAAATTAGGTTGAATGTTCTTTTTGTAGGTAAAATCCTATTTTGTTGAGGTTGTGTGTTCCTTCTTTCCTTTCTCAGTGACACTTCTGCCTGCTTGCTAGTCATTTCTCTAGACACTGGTTGTTTCTGCTGCCATTAACAGCAGGATACTAGTCATTTATAACTTGTTTACTGTGAGAGAACAAACAAGATCTCTTCTCTTTTCCAAGAAACCTTGTGTGAGTATTGGGAATGCGCACATCCATGTAGAAGCGTGCATAACCTCAAACCAAATATTTATTTGTTTATTGATTCTGCAATTCATATGGGGAAGAGTTATTTGTATGACAGTTGAGAAAACCTATATTAATACATGTGCACTGAAGATCAGGATGATAGGGACTGGACAGTAGACGACACAGAAAACAAGTTGGCTGGCTGGGGAATTCTGGAAGTTGAAATCCATCCATCTTAAACCTGGCAAGGTTGAGAAACACTAACAGAGGATAAGAGAGAGAACTCATCTAGCTTATGAGGACAGATTATTCCTTGGCCACTGACAGTTGCACTGTACACAATACAGTTTTGCCATTTTCCCAGTTATTAGTTCAGAGACAGTTCTTCAGAGGTCAACCAAATGGCTATTTCCTTAGCAGGAGGTCTGTTAACTGCTCTGTCTCTGAGTGCTGTCAGTGAAACATGTACATAGTCTTATCACATTCAGCTTGAAATCAGGTCTGGAATGTAGAGATGTGAGAAAAATTTGCTACTAGGTAGTGTGAATACTTCAGAAGTAGTAAGTTTGATGTTCTTCAGGAGAAATCATATTAGAATGATGATCTGTTTAAAGAGACTGAGTCAGCTGGTTAAATCACTTAGTTGTACTGCTCTACTGGAAATTTAGCTGTGAGCTTTGCTTTGACTTTTTACGAGTTATAAATGTATCAAGTTTAGAGCCAGTCTTTTAGTAATATACATGTTCATATCACTGAAAATTAATCAAATAAAATAATATAGCATACTAACTTGACTAAACAGGAAGAGTGAAAGCTTAAGTGTCTGAGAAGTAGAGTTAGATCAAATTCAGCAAATTCTGTAAAAGGTCTTAGAAGGTGGGGTTCCCTTATTCTAACAAGACATAAAAATGATGCCAGATGAACCTCAATGGGAATTGATGAGACAGCTGGTTAAGTTTATGTGAATTGAAGCTGTAACAAAAATGAGAAAGTATAACTTTAAAAGTTCATTCACTATGAACTTTTAAACTATCTATTCTTTAATCTCTCTCTATTCTTTAATCTCTTCCTTCTTTTCCTTCCCCTCCCCTTTTTTTCTGTGTAGAGTATACCAAGTCAGGCCGACATATTATATAAATAACATTAAATATTTGAATTGGTTGCCATTTTCTTTTAAACACTTCTTTATTCATTTGACATGTGACCTTTATACATTTCTAAGTACAGTAACATTTTCTCTGAAATAAAAATTAATAACTTTAATAAAATATATTGATTGGTCTGTGTGACCCAACAAGGCATACGTCTGTATCTTATGTTAATACATAGTATTGATTATATGATTGAAAGGAAGGCTTTGTTTTTTTCTCAGACCGCTTTAAATAAAATCAAAGAATCCAATTTAGATTTACTAAGAGTACTGGGATGGCAGCACATTGTTTTTCTTGTCTTAAATTTAGTGCTGCCTCCCTTCTTTTTGGATAAATATAGTCTCTCATGAAAAGCGATTCTGAATGTTTTGTATGAATACACATCCTTACGATTTTCTGTCCGTTCATGCGGCTTTGATGCATCCTTTTCACTTTCTTCCTTTGAGGATTTGGGCTTGCTTAGTTGTATTTTTAACAAGAAAAATGAAAGACAGACACGGATCTGATCACCAACCTGTGGCTAATCCAGCATGCTGTCTTTCGTTACTCCAATATACTGGATTTCAGGTATCTAAGATTACAAATAGCTTTCTCATCCTTGCTTTGTCCCATTGCCCTGTTTTTATCAAACTCTCAAAATGGTGAACCAGAGATTGGATCCCGTCAGCACCTAGTATCTTCTGTTCTATTATTTTTGCTGGGTCTTGTACATTCGGGGTCAGGTCCTTTCCCTCCAAATCTTTTCTTTAAAGCTTCCCATTTCACTTTAGAACACAATTGAGCTTCCTTCATTCTAAAGAGATTTGGTCTGCTTTATACTGAAGGACACTGTTTAACAATAAACAGCGTGGTTGAACAGTAGCAAAAGTGTTAGCTTAATGGGTCCTGAAGGTTGTATTTGAAATACAGCCCATGGGGAAGGAATTCTGTATCTATAGCAACACAAAACCTGAAAGAAGGAAGAGCATTTTCTCATCTATAAGCACAAGACTGGAGAACATGAATTCCATCTATGCTATTATTGTTTCATTAACAAACAAACAAAAAAAAGGTGCTAGGGAAATGCCATGGGATATTTTTTTTTTTTTTAAGCATAGTTCTGTATTCCTTTAGTGGCTAAACCATATAGAGATTTTGTGTGTAGGGATTCCATTAAAACTCAATGGAATTTCGATCAGCCTATTAATTATAAGACTACAGAAATGCTACTATGGAGAAGCAGGCCAGTAGATATTGTTTGGACATGTACTCAGAAAGTGGTTCTGATCTAAAAGTTGATAATGGAAGTAGATAAACATAGGCTCAAAAGCAGAACAGAATTCTTGGGGTTAAAAAAGGCTTAGAATCCAAGAAAAGCTCATTTAAGAAAGATTTGTTCCCACAATCAATTCTAGGCAGCATGTCTCATTTCATTTGCATATGTGTTTATAATTTTGCATGGGAAAAGTCATGGCTATTCTCAGGATTGGATTTGTTGTGAAAAAGAAATCTTGTAATCTTTTTTTATGGGAAAGAGTTGATGTTTATATTTTCCTATGAAATAAC